GGATGTTATACTTTCACATTGGTCTCTGTTCTTTGTTATTTGCAAATTTCAGTACAGTAGTTGCATAAATGCACTTAAATGGAAAGCATTCCAGAGTCCAGGACATGTATTAACATATTCAATTCATTGTGCATGGGGGTGGTGAAGGTGAAATTTCATCTCAAGAGGCAGTCATCAAGTGTTTCAACACTGTGGGAGAGGACACTTTGATGATCAAAGTGAAAAATAGAATCTTTTAGTCATTATTCTAAGTGGTGTCTGTTTTCTATAAGTCATGCCAAATTTTGAAAAAAATATATTTTCTTTATGTGTACAGTACCGATATTGGATATTTCTGAAATTCCACTGAATTTGCAGGTTGCATTGAAGTTAGGAATTGCTAGTAATTTGCTGTAACCACCTGTTTCAAGGAATTGAACAGGTTTTTTTAATTACATATTCTTGTTTTTATTTAATTTTTTTGTCTATTTGCTTTTTAATTTAGATAGATTAGAAAATGACTTGTTGATCCTTTGTTCTGCGCTCTACAGTTAAAGATTGTAATGTTTAAAATACTGTACCTCTGTTTCCTACTGTCAGTCTTTAATTCAGGGAAACATCATCCCCAAAGTCCGCCTGTTGTCTTTCCTTTGTTGAGAGAGACTGACAAGTTTTGAGGCCTGTGCAGTGAATGATGTCAGCATTTCATCACCTTAGGTTAAAGATGTCTTCCGAAGTGCCTGAGTCTGTGTTTGGGGTGCTGTGGCTCTGGGCATGTCGTGCTGTGTGTGTGAGCTGTAAAAAGCACAGTTACTCCTTGGGGACTGCTGTGCTGTGAGACAGTGACAGCTGGTGTTAGACTCGTGTTGGACCCTCTAAAAATGGCAGTTAATTTGCAGAACTAACTTTATACTTGACTACATGTCAATATGGGTGTGCATGCGGGTCGTCAGAGATCTATGTTGAAGGCAAATGGCTTTGTCTGCTGGAGCTACACTGATAAATAATCAGCCTTAGATCCCCCCTCACCAATCACTTTATATAGTTTGGAGTAAGTTAACTGTTGCCTTACTGAAAAGAAGATTCTACAAATATTTGAAGGATGTTGATAAAACTATCCCCTTACCCTTGCGAACACAGATTTACTTTCCTAAATAAATCCTACTTTCCTATTTTCAGCAGCTGCATTTGCTGAAGAAGTTACTTTGGCATGACGAAGTATGGGTTGAAGCAAAGGAGGTCACAAATCTCCCTTTTCTGTTGTATTTGTGAGATTGCAACAAACAATTGCAACGAAATATTTAAGTGACATGAAAATCTCTGCTACAGTTATCTCTTGGTAGTCTTTAAAGTATGGAAAATTACATGGCTGGGTTTAGATAACTATAAATTCAGCGTTGCTGATTTCTCATTATGTTCCTCAGCCAGTTTTAGAATCCATCCGCCCACTTGTGTCTGATGACAGGTGTATCTTAGGGATTCTCTCTGGCACTGTCTCGCCTGCGGCTGATTGGTGAGGTGTGGGCTTGTGGCATCTGCCTCTCTTTGCCTCGCCAGCCTGCCCCCACTTCTCCCTGCTCATGCCAGCATCTCTTATACACAGCCATAGAGAATGTCCCCCTGCCCACTCCTGTAGAACCTAACACCCATGCCGACATCCCAGCAGGCATTTTCCTGGGCTTCCTCATCTGTTCTCTGCATGCTGTCATCCCTTTCCTGCAGGTTATAGCCATGGAGGGGCCATGCCCAGACCAGAGATCTGCAGGTGAACAGGTGATGGAGCTGCCAACACTTGGCCTGACGTCTGCCTGGCAACAGAGGAGGATGTCATTGCACGGGGCCCTGCCAAATTAAAATGAGCAGGCTAGCCGCCGAGGCAATGTACATGCGGCTTAACACCAAGTGCAAAATAGAACAGACGCATCAGGGAGCTGTGCCTTGTGGTCATGCAAATGCTTCTGCAGAAGGCAGACGTGTCCAGTGTTGGCAGGAAGAGTTGTCAGAAAATACAGATAATTTCCATATTTTTGGAGACCTTTCATTTAAATATAACCGGGCTCTGTACAGTATATTTCCCAGTTTCATATTTGAGCCTAGTTTCTGAGAGGATGAGCTAAGCAGTTAACATCGCTGCCATGCTCCAACATAATGGTTTCATTTCCAGCCTTGCCCTTCTGCTTTTAAGAGATGTGCACATCTAACTCTGCTTGCATGCGTTTTCTCTGGGAGCTTTGTTTTCCAAGACTTGTTGTCTTTGATTTGATGACCTGTTTTTGGTTGTCCTTTTCTCTTTTGCCCTGTGACAGATTCTGTCCCATTTTTTACTAATTTGCACTCATTACCTCCTTGCATGTGTTTCAGTAATTTTGAGAGCAAAACCCTCAGTATGATGAGCAGCTTACTGATCGAGGATGGATAAACTAGACCATGTCCAAAGCTTCAGGTCACCCATTGGAAGGTGGAAGACAAGCTTCTGTTTCTCTTGTTACAGATACTGAATATGTGAGCTCTATTCTCTTTTCATCTGTTTAGTGTAATAAAACAGATGAGTCCCACTGCCTTCCCACAGTGTCATGATTTCTGTTCTGCACCCACAATATGTAGTTACAGTGATGAGATAGATCTATTTTTAATTCCAGAAAGGGAAAGTGTGATAAGCAACATGGCAGTTCCTATTAATTGTTTCATGGGGTTTCTTCAGATAGGACTGCTAATTGCTGATTATTTTTATTGGTTCTTTGCTGTGTTTGTTTATATATTCTGTATGGATCCTATATTAAATATTTTGGCTGTAAACTGTCAACATGTGAACAGTATGTAAGATTACGTCATCGTGCATACACTTAAAATCATTCACCTTGAGATTATTTTCAATGAAATACATTGTAGAAAATCAGGTTTACAGTATTTTAAACATGCTGAATAATAAATAAGTTTCTAAATCTTTCCCTCTTATCAATGTTAAACACTGAGATGGGAATATCATAAGAGGGATAATCCTCTTGGAGGCTTGAAGCTGTGGGCTGTTGTGAACCGTTACATAAGTAAGAAGGGTTACAATTGAGAGTGAGCCATTTGGCCCAGCTAATTGATCCAAGGTTCTCATCCCGGGTATCAGATTCAAATCAGTTTTTAATTCTCTCTCAGGATATAGTAGGAGAAAACAGTAAGATTTTGAAGAAACATTTTTATTCTTGTTATTGTAAAGAAACGTAGGGACAAAATACCTTGCCATGTGTGGTAATCCAATAAAAACCTACATCAGCTAGTGCATCTGCAAGCTCATAGACATTTAAAAATTGGTTATTCAATCTAAGCACTGAATGTGACTGTATTGAATGAATGGATTGAGCTTTTGATAGATAATGCAAGGTTATGCACTAAAGAGCTCAAAGAACAGCATGTGGTCCTCTTTCTCTCTTTCCAGTATGACGTGTAGCCTTTCTGCTTGGTAATTATCATTGTTAGCTGATGGTACAGGTGGATGCAGAAGGTGCAAAGCCTAAGAAGCATAAGACCAACTGCCCTTGCGTGCTTGGTACCAGCGCAGAGCCTGTGAGCTGTGGCACAGTTTAGCACAGGGTGTGAATAAGATAAAGCTGCAGGAGGCTGCTGTGTAATGAAATGGCAGAGGCTCTGAACAGCAGGCTCTCTTCAATAAAGACGCAAACACTTCAGCTCGCTGTCTGTAGCTCCACGGGCATGAATGTGGCTAAAACAAAATCTCTCGCCCACGGGATTAAGGCTGTCCTTCTTTTCTACATTTGCCATTCCAAAGTCGCTTCTGCCATTCTAAAGGCTTGTTCGATTTATCCTGTGATTCTCTGCAAAGAGAGGACTGCCCCTGGAACTGGAGAGCCACAGTCCAGAAGGTTTATGGGTCTTCCTAAAATCCTTCATTTTCTAAACGCAACTTTGTTTTGGTGTGTTGAGGAGGTGAAGTTGGGGATCATTTGAAACACAACTGTCTTGCAGCTATCCTGTACCTTAACTGTCCGTTTGACCTTAACTGAAGAAATGAACTTGCTAAATTGATATAGGTCTCTGAACGGTGATTTTTACAGCCTGCTGAGTTGCTGGGTTATACCTCTGAAACTATGGGGGTGGTCTTTCCTGCTCAACAAATACCTGGCACATTAACAGACAAGAACCATGACATGCCATGTAACTGTTATACCATGCAGATATAAGACTTTGTTCTTGTTGAAGTAGCTCTGTTAATGGCCTCTGTTTAAATGTGAGTAATGCTGCCAAATCCAAACAGTGTTCTGGAATTATTAATCTTTCCAACAATTGTTTTTAGAGATAAATCACTGCTGTGCTCAGCAAACATTATTAATCCATTTTATTTCTTAGAATTTTCATCCTCAATATCTTAGATCCAATTTTAATAGATCATTCAGGATTAAGTATCTAACTTTCTTTCACCCCAAGTTGGTTAAAAACCTTTTTTAACTTTACCCTTTTGTGTGACTGAAGTCAATATAACAGAAAACCGTGCAGTAGCACTTTCCAATTTGCAAAACACGTTGTCCTTCAATTCCGACAGTCCAGGCAATCTTAAACCAAGTGGCCAAGCTTTTATCCCCATCTTTACAATCTTTAAAGCATTACTATTTCCCATCTTACACAATAGTTTTCATGTGACACTCAGGGATGAGGCCTGGAATGTGTGGGAATCTTGCATGGTTATTCTGAGAAACCAACAGAAGCCTTCATTCACTGGCTCTCTAAGCATTTTAAGAACGTAAAAATGGTCACAAACGAGAGAAGCCCATCTGTCTCATTTGGCTTGTCTTAAGCTAATTGAGCCAATGGATCTCATCCAGCCTCGTCTTGAAAGAAGATGGAGGATCCGCTTGAACGACATGTCTGTGTAGCATATTCAATGCTTCCACAACCCTCTGCGTAAAGACATGCCTGTTCTGAGTCTGAAATGCACGTCACCCTAGTTTTTAGAGTTAAGGACCTAGTAGTGCTGACTTTTTAAATGTCTCTTCTTTCCTTTTTTGAAATTGCAGATAGACCTGGAGCCAGAAGGAAAAGTGTATGTCATCATTGATCTTTCAGGATCCTCCAGTGAAGGTAAGAACGGTGCTCAATTTGGAGCAGTGAGAACATTGTAATAGGTGTTGCCATTTCTGATCAGGATCCAGTGTTCAGGACCTTCTCACATTTTTGTGCTACTTCAGCCAGAACAACATTGTTTCACCCTGAGGGTTGCATGTACAGTTGTTCAGTGCAGAGTGTCGCATGATTACATTCTAAGGTCATGCCACTGTAAAATACTTGCAGAAATGGGTGTACTTTTGCACAGTTAACAATTTTAATGTTATGAAATTAAGGTTAATTTAAGTTAATTTATCCCATGAGTAATAGCAGTAAACCTAAACGTTTTATAGACCACTCCACTAAACAGTGCACGTTGGTTGTTGATGCTGCAAACATTCAGACTACCAAGATGAAGTACAGAGGACCTTGTGATCTGATACAGTCACATTTACACTGCCAGTTGTGAGCAAGATTAAATGTTACTTACTCATTTGATCCTGAACAGAACTGGCAGCATAAACGTGCCTTATGCGTTGGTAGGTCTCTTTGCTTGGTCATACTGCATTTCCATGGTTTTAGTTTCCTGATGAAAACCCCATTGACAGTGACTGCTAATATGTCATTTTGCCTGTTTAATAGATTTTTCTAATGTTTAATTTGATCCTGTGATGTGTGAAATCGTGAGAAAATGTATGATATGAAACCCACACTTGTCAAACCATGCAGAGGACATCTGGGCTCACTTCACATTGTCAATGTGTTATAAAATGGCTTTCAGTTATTGTGGCAGCAGTTTTTTTTTTATCAATTATGTATAAATTCAATATAGATTAGCTCCAGACTGGTTTTGTATTCTGATTGATTTAACCTGAGTTTGCATGACATTACTATATATTTTAAAAAATTATCACACATTTGGATTGAATTTCAGCTCATCAGTGTTTCAAAAAAGGGATTAATAGAGGTTCGTACTGTATGTTGTGCCAGATCCTGGGCCTTCAGTGTCCTAGGGAATTAACTGATTCTAAGCCAGAGTCTCAGGAGGGTTTTTATGTTTGTTTTCTGCACTCTGGGCATTGTGTCAACTTGGTCGGAGGGTTGGGGGTTAGTGTGCTGTGAAATTCTATTGTTGTTAGAGCAGGCCCTTAGTCTGTGAACCAGAGTGAACACCCATATACTGTACATTCAGACAAATTCAAGCCTGGGAATGCTGGGTCTATCCCATTACCACATCTTAACCTTTCTCATCGCTGTGAGCACATACTCAAGTGATGAGATAAAAGGTGATTTCAGTTCCTCTCATTTTCCAGAGAAATATCAGATAGCCCTGGAAATGCTTTTTTTACTTTTCTTTAAACTTAAAATTCAGAACTTACTAAACTGGTTTGGATTTTGGAGACAGAATTTTTAAAACGAAAAAGCAAAGTCATAAAGTGCCCCCCCCCCAAAAAAAAAGGTTAAGGTATAATATACCCATGTTGTAAAAAAAACAGAAACCATGCTGCTGACCAAGGTGTGAGGATTCTGGGTCAGTAAGCTTCTGCCCTCCATATAGTTTATATAATTCACTTGAAAGTCATGGAGTTCTTTTCTTGGTTGGGCTATTCAGGGCTCAAGCCAATGAATTTCATTACCAAGGACTTTTGCTACCAGACCTGATTTCACACACACTTAATGTGGGTCATGGTGCCCTACTTTCAGCACCACAAGTTCCTTAACTGGCTATCGTTCAGAAGCTGCTTCCTGGAGCTCCTGTCATTTACAGTGCTGGGTGTGTGAAACTCAGGTGCCTTCTACCTGTTCTATCTCCAACTCATTCCGTATTGCAGAATAGCATCCCCTCTTTTCTATATAACAGCACATGCAGTGTAATCTATGCCTTATAAAAATGTATGTATTCCAATTAAATAGCTTTTCTTACTTGTTGGAGGTACAGTACATACGTACTCACTGTCCAAAGCATTAGGGTCTTCCACTTTCAGCAAAAGACACTCAGTGACAGGCAATGCTGTGACACACTTGAGGGGCACGAGACAAACTTCCATATCCTTCCCCAGGCCAGAATGATCCCCTGATCTCAGTCTGAATGAAAACCAGTGGAATGCAAAGCTGAAACCTACACACGATTACCACATCCTGCTGAAAGAATGGAATGGGACTGGGTGGCAAATCCCTTGAGGAATATTCATGTCACGTCCTGTTCGAAATGATCTTGCAGGTTGCAGAGTGCTAATATGTTATGTGGTGGGGGCTTCTAATAATTTGCCCTGTTGCTCAGATATAATCATGAATTTCAGACACCCTTTGCTTACCTGCCTACTTCTCACCCGGACTGTTCGAGCCGTACTCTTCAGTGCCTGAGCTGGTAGCTTCGCCCTAGTGGTGTTTATTTCTTCTACTTAAGTGAAGCTGTCACCAAGGCTTCCCTTTTTACTGGGAACAATTCCTTCCGCTGTACGCACTGAATCCCCTGAACGGTGTCCTCTCCTTCATTTCTACGGTAGATGTGAAAAGAGAAAAGGTAGATGGGAGATTTATAGTGCGGATCGTCAATTTTTGTAATGTAATGTTGGGTAGGGCAGGGAATGAACAGTTACCATTTCCTTAGGCAGAACCTCAGAGGATTCTGTAAAATGCAGGAGGAAAACCTGTAAGAAAAAGAACCCCCAGCTGTTGCTGATTTCTGACCCAATCGTGAGTAGTACAGGTTTGACAAGGTGTCTTGTTTACAATCTGCTCCTGTGACCAGGAGTGCCTACAGTTCAAAGCTGCTACAAAATACATTTGATTGGACGTTTTTGGGAAATGCTTACCTGCTGCATCAGGTCTTGTGTGTATCCTCGCCCATCCAAGTACGTACAGTATAAGGAAGATCTCTCAGTGGCACGCAGTATTTCCTTCATTCTGGCTCATCCTCTTTTTAATGAAAAAAATAAAATGCAAACTCAAAAAGCCCTTGACCCTCCACTGACAGAGACACTTCTTCTCCACACTGTACAGAAGTGCAGCTTTGCTACTAAACAAACCTCATCTATGATTCTGAGATGTTTTCCAGCCAAGGGCATTTAACTTAGCTTTTTCTTGGTTTTTCAAATGCAAATAAAATTGCCTGTGCAAAACATGCATAGATGTTGCATACAGTTGAACCCTTTCACTTAAGTGTTTGTCTCAGATAGATCAGAATGTCATTTGCCAGTTTTTTTCTTCTTATCGTCTTGTGAACTTCAGGTGAATTTGTGGGGTGAAGATACCAGTCATCTCCCTTGAACCACGAGACCAACTTGCTGTTTAGGACTCTGTATCCAAACAAGTGTCATCCCTCCACTGAGCTACAGTGTTTCCTTTGAAATTTGAAAGGGCAGCATGACTTATCTCGTGCTGTCTTTTGGCACGGCGACTGTGTTTCAGGATTGAAGTGAAGTGCCATGCGGGGCGAAAACTGGGTAGCTGTGCCAAGGCCTCCAGCTCTGCAGTGTGTGTTAAACCCCCAGCCCAGGGACCCCAACAGAAGGCACAGGGACCAGGGTTCAGTGCACTCTTTAGGGAACTTTTGCAGACTACTGCCTACTCTAAATATTATTGCTTCAAAGTGATCTATTTATAAAAGCTTCATAGATTTCCTAATTTCTTTTGTGAGCTTTAACTAGAAAACATTCAGTTTTTAATGATTTTAAATAATGCTTAAATTGAAAAATAAAATGTGAAGAAATATGATGTTGGTCATAGCTTATAATATTTTTCAACAAGCTGATGCTCAGGCAAAAACTGGGTGTTTTCACTCTTCTGTGACAAACCACGCAAACGCATGCTGAAGCCCTTTTATACGGTGGGCACAGGGAAAAGAGCTCAAAGATTGAACATGCTGAATGCTGAAACATTAAAACCCAGGCTTTTCTCTTTGTGCTTTAAATAAATCCAAATCGCTATAAAACTTCCGATTTTCGATTGTTCACACTGGCTCTTTTTTTACATCCCACCAGTGTCCATAATTACAGAATATTGGTTTGCAATCACTGGCACAGGAGGTGACAATTAATGCCTACAGGTTGGGCTCAAAAATAGATCTAATGTGGTGTTTCTGTTTGATGCAAATATCTGAAAGTCTCTCTGAGTGCTATTAAAGACCCTGCCTTCAAACTTTAAATATATCTTTAATGACATCTCATACTTTGCACATAGAAAGGTATGCCTTTAATGGTATCTTTGATATGAGGATTTGCAATTCTCTTTTGAACATGCAGACTACATAAAGCACATCAACAGTTTTGCATGTCATCAACTAAGTCTCATATTTCATAGCAGGATTATCTCCTTTAAAGGACTGTTGATTTGTGTGTGTGTCAAAAACAGAATTAGGAGTGAGTTTGTATATATACAGTACATTGTCTATATAGTACTGTATATCACATAAGATATGAAATAAGGGATCCCCTCTTCACTGTATTTCTTTTCAGAATTGCACCAATTCTAAGAAGTAATCTTTAATAATATTTCTTTTGATTTTCCTTTATCGACAAGTGATACACATACTGTATATTACAGGAACTTAGCTCAACAGCCTTAATTTAAACTGTAACCCATGTGGCATTTCTCCAAGTGTTTTATTAGCTCCTTTGTCTCAGAATAAAACTAATCTAATGCTGTAACAAGCAGGGAAATACATCCCGTTATACTTAAAGAAGGTATCATCTCTCATCTGGTTTGTAAAAAAGGTTGAATTTTGATGCATTGACCTTGTACTTTTAATGTAACAGGTGTTTATAAAAAATTCCAATAACAGGAGGAGTGCCTAAACTGTTAGAGTTGCAATTTTGTTTTGTTAATCCCCAGGCCTGCCATAGTGCTAATAACTGTGAATCTCAGAGGTACAAATACTGTATCAGAAATAGTTCTCTCCAAAACACTGCCCTATCCTACAGTAGTGGTATAGTAGCAGAAGGCCTGGTGATTTAAATAGAATTGGATGACATACAACACTAGTGGATTTAGCAATTGACTCCATCACAATTGGTTATATCAGAAAGATATTGCCA